ACGGGCAGCGTGGAGGGGGCTCCCCAGCCCACCGAGAACAGCTTCACCCCCAAGTGCGAAATCACGGGCAAAGACGCCCTCTCGGCGCTGGCCCGGGCCAGCAGCAAGCAGTGCCAACAGGAGATCGCCAACGTGGTGTGTCTGCACCGGGCCGGCAGCCTCATGCCCCAGTCTGTGCCTCGCCACTGCCAGCTCTCAGGTGAGTCTTGCTGGGCTGCTCCCGGTCACCCCTGGGCATTGGGAATATCCCAGCCAGGCACATGGGCCACCTTCCTTATGTCACCAGACTGTCCCACCTGGCAAAAAGCGGCCTCAATCTGTCACTGATTCCCAGATTACCGCTGCCTCTGTAATCCAATCAAAGCTGTGCCAGCCTCCTTAAGCTGGGCTGTTCATCGCAGCCTGTGGTGCCTGCAGAGGTCAGAGCCAGGCCCAGCTGCATCTTCTGTTTCGAGGGGTCAGAGAATGACATCCCCCCCTTTCCCAATGCAGCCCTGTCAATTTAACGCAAGGGGCTGCGTGTGCCACCATGCCCTGGCACTGCAGTGTGATGGGGTTTGCCTGAGGCAGAGCTCTTTCCTGCTGTCTCCCCCCTTGCTCGGGTCTCTCTGGTTTATCAGGGTGGTGGGTGCCGAGGCCAGGGGCAGCTGACAGCCTTCTCCCTCCCCGCGCACCCCCCTTTCCCAATGCAGCCCTGTCAATTTAACGCAAGGGGCTGCGTGTGCCACCATGCCCTGGCACTGCAGTGTGATGGGGTTTGCCTGAGGCAGAGCTCTTTCCTGCTGTCTCCCCCCTTGCTCGGGTCTCTCTGGTTTATCAGGGTGGTGGGTGCCGAGGCCAGGGGCAGCTGACAGCCTTCTCCCTCCCCGCGCAGGCAAGGTCAGCCCCGTCATCCAGTGGGACGAGAGCCGGATGCAGCAGGCACCCCCCAGCGAGCAAAAACGCCTACATGCTGGTTGTGCACGGCAGGGCCATTCGCCAGCTGAAGCGCCTCATCAAGGCTGTGTACCACCAGCAGCACTTCTTCTACATCCACGTCGACAAGGTATGCTGGAGGGACGAGGGGAAGAGAGATGCTAACAGTGCCTGGATCGGTCGCCAGGACAGGGCACAGAGCTGGGGTGCGGGTGGGCAGTGAGTGGAGGCACAGTGTTTGCTGTGTCAGAGGAAGTGGCTGGGTAGGGTTTGTCCTCGCTGCCGGTGGAGCTGTGACCCTCCCATTCCTATTTCTGCAACCCCAGGGAAGCAGGATCTATCCCTCCTGCCCAGAGCAGTCTTGTCTTGCTGCTCTCTTCCCTGCGGAGGCTGCCATAAGGGCTGACCCTGGGCTGGCAGCAAGGAGGCCTCGGGAAGATGAGCTCCCTGCTGACCGTGAGCCGTGTTCCCTGGCAGCGCTCCAACTACCTCCATCGCGAGGCGGTGGAGCTGGCCCGGCACTACCCCAACATCCGCGTGACGCCCTGGCGCATGGTGACCATCTGGGGGGGTGCCAGCCTGCTGAAGATGTACCTGCGTAGCATGAAGGACCTGCTGGAACTGGCCGAGTGGCCCTGGGACTTTTTCATCAACCTGAGCGCCACCGACTACCCCACGAGGTGAGGACCTTGGCTGGGGCAGGGGAGGACGATGGAGGTGTTTGGGCTGCGTGATGCTGCAGCAGCCTTGGGAGGGGCAGGGAGGAGCAGGGAGCTGAGGGAAGATGGGGTTGGAGATTGCAGCCATGTGCTGGTGGTGATGCTCCAGGGCCAGGCTGGTCCCATCTCTGCAGAAGAGCCCAGCCAGTACCTCGGAGGCTGTTTTTTCCTGTGGTCTGGGTGCTGCAGGGGAATGTACGTGTGAGGCGCCAGACAGCAGAGGGGCCACGTCTGTATCTCCCCAGCGATGTGACCAGGGTTTGAGTCAGCACCTACCAAGCGGCCTTAGGCTCTTTTTATCTGGTGGCTTTTGCAGAGTGAATGTTTACTGGGCTGCTTTACCCCGGGGGCTGCTAACGCTTTTTGATTTGCACCTCAGGACCAATGAGGAGCTGGTGATGTTCCTGTCCAAATACCGAGATAAGAACTTCCTGAAGTCTCATGGCCGAGACAATGCCAGGTAATTGCAGCTAGAGACAGAGCTGAGCTGGAGGAACAGAAAAAGGAGGGATTTCAGAAAGGAACTGTAACAGTGGGGGCAGGGGGGATGTTCTGGGTGTAGCTGCACCCAGCAAAGTGGGTGACATCCCTAGCCCCTCATCCTCATCTCCGTGCCCAGGTTTATCAAGAAGCAGGGCCTGGACCGCCTGTTCCACGAGTGTGACTCCCACATGTGGCGGCTGGGCGAGCGCCACATCCCCGAGGGCATTGTGGTAGACGGGGGCTCTGACTGGTTCTCACTGACGCGCAGCTTCGTGGAATACGTGGTCTACGCCGACGACCAGCTGGTGTCCCAGCTGCGCCAGTTCTACACCTACACGCTCCTGCCAGCCGAGGTGGGTGCTGGCCGCAGGGCACAGGCTGGGTTTTCTTCCCGCTGTACTTAACGTCTCTGTCCCACTTCATCCCCACCCTGGGTAGCTGCGAAGGGCACTGCTTTGTGCAGGCAGCTTTGTGCCTCCCTTTGCCCAGACCTGGGTATGAAAGAGGGGAGAGAGGAGCACACAGGCCAAGGGTCATGTTTATATCCAGCCCTGCTTTAGGTCCAGATGCCCCTCTGGGCCATGTAAGGACTGATGTGGGCGCGCAGCCTCGTCTCTTACACGTTGCCGTGTGCTGGGAACAGGGATGGGTTTCTGTTCGGGAGCTATCGAGGCCTGTCCTGTTCCTCTGTGAGTGAGGGGTCAGGGGTCTCCTTTAACCATCCGTCCTCCATCCCCACTGGGTCTCCTGTCCCTTCTCTGTTGTGCACAGTCCTTCTTCCACACAGTCCTGGAGAACAGTCACGCCTGTGAGACGCTGGTCGATAACAACCTCCGAGTGACCAACTGGAACCGGAAGCTGGGCTGTAAGTGCCAATATAAACACATAGTCGACTGGTGTGGGTGCTCCCCAAATGACTTCAAACCCCAGGACTTCCTCCGGCTACAGGTGAAAAAGATCCTCCTTTCTCCTCCCGCTCTCTCCCCTCCTCCCTGTCTCTCTCCCCTCTGAGCTCCCCTGCGGGCGCACCCCTGGGTGCAGTGCCAGCTGCTGCGCACGCCCACGTGAGCCTCACCCCAGCCCCGCAAGGGACGGGAGCAGGGTTGGCTCCCCAGCCGCCATGGGGCTCGGCACAGACGTGTCTGTAAATGCTCAGGCAGCGGGATTACGCTGACTGTTCTGCCCAGCAGCCAGGCTGTTGCTTGCAATGCTGCTCCTCTTCCCAGACTTTCTCTCCCATTTTCCTGCTCTTTCC